CAGTCTGATGGAAATTGAAGTAATATCATAAAACCTCACAAATGTGATAAGATGTGTTTAAAATTTTGCTTGAAAAATCCTTGCTTTAATTCATCCACCCCCCAAAACCACAGCTAACATGTATTGATGTGAAAATATGTCACAATACAGAAGCTAAAGGGGATTTAAGGTGGTCTGATAAATAACCAACTAATTGATGTTAATTATTTCACCATCGGCTCAGTCTATCAACTGTTCCTGCAGCTTGAGACCACCATCTTACCTCTGCAACAACAGCAGGGTTGGTATCAACTGGTGACTCTGCCACGTTCTGTGCTGCTGAGGGGTCATCGCTCTGGAAAAAGACAAAAAGTGTGCACACTATCTTTAAAGTGGAACTGGTTTGGATGCTTTCCTTTGTCATACTTGATATAAAACTTTCAGAAAAGCGTCTAGAAGGACAACATATGTCGGAGCAAGAGAAAAAGACGTATCTAAACAATGCACAGGGTCCACCCGGCTCTCGCACTCATTTTCTTTGCGGTCGTTATGATTGTTGGTTATTTTGAGTGAGTGGGCTGCTGAGGAAGAAACGAGGCACTAATGAAGGGCGGTGGCGAGGTGACGTCTCTCGTGCTTAGCTCAGAGGATGCCTTGATTACACCATGCCATTGGAATGACCTTCCCTTAATGGGGAGCGGTCACAGAGCACTGACGTGTGCATGTGGCGACTGATATAACCTGAAACCAGTTGTTGTACCTTCTCTTCCTGCTGTTGCATTTGATGCCACCCATCAGGCCTCCATCTGTTCTCTCAGCAGAGCCAGAGAGACGCAAACACGCCGCCATTTCTATTTACCGTGGTCCGGTTAAACTTTGGCCAAAGGTTTAAGATTTGTTCGGACATTTTGAGAGACAAATCCAACATGACAAATCTGTGTAAACCACAATCTCTCTAAGTAAAATCAAATTGAGCCTCTTCCTACAACCACTATGTTGTTCCAGAGCAATTTTCAAGCAGAAATCACCTCCTGGGGACGGGAGTTACACAACCTCTTTTATTGCATGTCGCTGAAAAGACCTGAGCAATAAGACATGCTCGTATGAGACCACTTTGTGTTTTCGTTTTTCTTCTACCTTTCTGGCCTTTGTGTCTGCGGATATGAGTCACCAGCAGCTGATGAATTAGTGAAACAACCAGATGAGGAGATTAATCAAGGCTCAGCGTCCGACCATCCACAGTTTATGTGCGTCAGACGTAGGAGACGATCTTTGATGGGCTCTCTCTCAACCTGGCATCAATTTTTCAAATGAAATCAATATTAATGACGTTTAATGACTGAGCCGCCTGGAGACGACGGTTAAATGAGGTCAATCTGCTGCTGTCTGCACGTCAATCTCTCGCTGGGAACACCAGGATTTTTTTTAATCTGCGTTCATTCCTCAATCAGTCAGCCCATCATCTTCCTATCAGTCAGTCAGTCTGTTTGTCCATCTGTTTGTTCTGTTTGCCAGTTTGGCCTGTCAGGATTCCTCATGATGAGGCTGATCACATCCACAGGTGGAGCTCCGTCACTGCTTAATCTCTCAGGGGGACTCAGTTAGAGGTCGAGAACAATACAACTGAGAGAGTCGGTGTTTGTGGGAAATATCATTTTGTTGGTGTCTTTTTTTTTTCACTGATCACAGATAATTAAAAGATCTGTGTGTGTGTGTGTTGGTGTGTGTTTTTGACTGCTGTGGCTGGTTGATGTCTGAATTAGCTGGTATGGATCCCTCGTGTTTCACCACTAATTAAGGGACAGGAGATCGAGCACCACAACAAACATTAGACAACGAGGTTCACGCTGCTGAAAGGAAATGTTTGATTGACTTATTTCCTGCGACTCACAGGGACGATATGAGAGGCGACGGTGATTCCATGAAATCAAATTACACTTTATTAATCCGGGAATATGACAGTGGAAGTTTTGAGAAGCGTAAATGCTGTGGTTTGACAAAAGAAAAACAGTGATCGTTTTTCTCTTGTTTGAATGATGTAGAGTGGATGACCGAGAATATTTACAGATAAGTTGAACTAGTAGTTTTAAAAATGTACCCTTACCCACTGCAAACTTTGTGAATTCATATTAAAAAACACTTATATTTAAAAATGTTTTACAATCATTTTTTATCATGTGAATTGATAACATGTTCAATATTATTGCACATGTGATATTAAATGTGGAAAAACCATGTGTGCTGATTGTCTTAATGTGAAAACCCACTCCACATGTAATTAATATGTGCAATACTATATGTGGTTTTGTTGAAAACATTAATTTTATTGTGATGCTAAAGATACAATATTAAATCTAAATATTCCTGAAATGTTATCAGTTAATTTATCTGTAATCTAGATTTTCTTTTAAATTGTAGACTGTAACTGCCACATTTCCAGAAAAGTAAAAACTGAAGGCCCTGACTGTGAATAGACCCTGATGAAAATAGAAGCACGTGTGTGCGCGTGTGTGTGTGTGTGTAGGTTGCATCAGTAAATTGTTTGCTGCGATGAAATGTGTTCCTCTCCACCTTTGGACAAACAAAGGCGAGACTGACTGATGAACAATGCAGGAAAAGCTAACAATATATAATGGCTTTCATTTTGGAGAAGAAAGACACACATCAGAAAAGAGAAGTGATGACAAATGACTCAAGGTCAGGAGGCCATTTTGATACAGTGAAGAGTTACAGCCGGCAGCCAGCGGCATGAAATGGATTGATGTGCTGTAAACTACCCTTTGTAAAGACGTGTTTGAATGTGTGCATGTTGTCAAACTGAAATTTGAATTCTTGACACTTTATGGGAAGAAACTAATATCAAGTATAATGATGCAGCAGCTTTTGTGTACATGCCAACATATATCTATTTTCTAAATGTGAATGAAAGAGGTTTATCACCATGTATTTGTGGTGAGAGCCATCAAGCCTCTGGGTGGTCATTACCATGGCAACAGTTGAGGGTTGGCGTTATCAGTTGATGCTACTGAATGGAACACGTCGCCGCTCCACTCCCTCCCATGGTACAAAAATGAAGCTAGAACATCCCAGACATAGGTGCACTTTTGATGGCACTTGGAGTGCAGTAGTGATTGTGGTGTGGCGCCGCGGTATTGAGGTCCCGCTGATACACATGCTCAACCAATTACGAGTCAGTCTCAGCTGTCAATCATGACATTTCACCCCGTTTTTATAGCAGGAACAACTAATCAAAACCAAACTTACCAGAAAAATGTACCTGTCACACCTGCCAGTTATGAACTACTTTTAGTTTCTGTCCGCAAAGAATGTTGCACCAATCAAAATGTTTATTGTCAACAGAACACTAGGGGGTGCTGTCACAATAGAACAATTGCCTAATTGATACCAACAATTTCAACAACAAACATCTCATATGTATTTAAGCTGAATAATATTTGACTTTGAATCAAAGGTATCTTTCTTACCTGTTTGGCCGGGTCCTTCTTGATCAATCCTGTGGCAGCGACAATGTTGCCTGCCCCCTCCACAGTTATCTGGGCCACAGCCGTAACCCCCGTAACCACAGCTCCACCCATATGAGACACCCCGGACACAGTTTTACCTGCGACTGAACGTACAGAAGAAGAGAGGAGGTGATGGAGAGAGAGCGAGAGTAATTCAGAGTCTCAATACCCATGAGGACTAGCAGGTTTCCACAATGAAGAAAATGTAATTTGAGTGGTGCTGCCCTTTGTGTGACTTGTCTAAGGCTGTCAGCGATGTGTTTTACCAGGAAATAGAAATAAGAATCAATACTATGTGTTTCTTTTACATTCTACGTCAGTGTTCCTCACTTAAAAATACATCTGAAAATTAAAAATATAATAAAGAGCCTTCAAACTGTTTGACGTTGTGTTGCCTGTTTGAGTCGATAAACAGAATCATCGCCTCTGATGTCATCGAGTTACCTGAAAAACCTCAGTAACAGCTTGGAGGCGTTTTACTTTCAGAGCCCTCCTACAGTTTCACCCCGCCTTTCATTATCTGATGAACAATGCACTGCTGCATTTCAGGTTTTACATTTGTTTCCTGTGAATTTTTAACTGTAAACTCTTTGTGTTGTAAATAAGATTCTTAAATTCAATCATCATTGACATTCCTAGCATTCCTCTGATTTACAAGTACTTTATTTATGGTCACACTCTGCTAAAAGCTACTGTACTGGGATGTCTTGTGATGGTGTTGTGTCCACCAGTGATTCCTAACCACGAAGTCAGGGCCCAAAAAAATCCTGGATAAAATATAAATATCTGGAGTTTTGAAATTTCAAGATACATAACTGCTGTTGAACTGCTCATGACTGGTAGATAGTATTTGTACAATAATGTTTGCCATCTGTATGATGTAATTATATAATTCTCATACTGTGCGATAACTTAATCTTTTGTCGAAAGTGTTAGGAGTTCTAATAATCAGTTATGGAAAAAATGATCCTACAGCTGTTGATGATGTGTGGATGCGGATCATGCTTCTGCTTTTTACGCATCTCTTCTCACATGTCTTCCAAGCCAATTCCTAACATTTGTGTTTTATATTATTTTTTTGTTCATGTATTGTTATAGTTTTCTTTAATATTATTACTACATTATTTGGAGGTTTTAATAAGACATCCTGTGTTTGTCTCATAACTCCAGTTTCCAAAACACTGACTGCATTTTCAGTGATGAATAGGATACCAGGATACAGCAGCGTCCCTGGATGCCGATAGCAGGCGTGTGTCCCTTGGCTTCTCTGCTTGTTATGTTATGAAGAATGGCAGCCCTGCCTAGCCCACAGGGAATTAGACCAGTCGTGTTGAGTTGAGCGGTGAAATATGACACTTACTCACCTGCAGAGTTACCACATACATCTCTCTTACTGAACACCAGAGGACCCAGTGAGGTTAGACCATGGATTATACTCTTTTTATCTATATGACTGTAAAAGTATTTCTTCGATGGTAACAAGATGAGCTTGTATATGGAAATACATGATTGATTTTTACCCCCCGAGCAGGTCATGTTTTCCTCTGTGTTTATTTATTTCATAGTTAGCAGGATGATGCAAAAACTACTTGCCCTAAAATGTTAGTCGTACTTGTTAGTACTTTAAAATTGCAAATTGGCCATTTTTCTGCAATGAGATGCTGATCCAAATAAATCAATGAAGTGTCCCTCTAGTTTTCAATGGAACCAGTGTTACAGATTCACTTGGTGTGCATTAATGTGTGTATGGTGATACCTGTTGTGACGCCATCCTTTGTTTTGGTACCTGAAAGAAAATGTAGACGAAGCTCATTAGTCAAAAATATAAATGGGCTACAAAGAACAACAGTAGCTGCTCAAAAGGCCCAGGGACATTCAGACTCAAAGTCAATATTAAGTATTGATAATAGTCGGTATGGATGGATGGATGGACGGATAGGTGGGTGGACAGATGGATGTGTAGGTGGACGGATGGATAATTACATAGGTGGATAGAATATATAGATAGATAGATAGATAGACATATACAGTGGATGGATGATGGATAGATGGGTAAATACATAGGTGGATAGATGGATAGATTGGATGCTGGACAAATGGATGTACAGTATAGGTGGAGGGATGGATGAATACATAGGTGGATAGATAGATAGATAGCTTTATATTATATTATTACAAAAACACATTTAAAGCTTTCTGTATCATCTTCAAATAAAAATGATCATGCAAAATAAACATCCAGCACTCACCGACGAACATGACCCCGTCTTTCGTCATCTCAGCCGCTCCGGTCACTCCCTGCTTGGTCTTCCCCGCCGCCGCCACGACCCCATCCTTGGCTTTGGATATCCCCTTCATGAACACGTCCATGGCTGCTCGACACACACACACGGACACAAACACACACGGTGGCACTGAGTAGAAATAGAAAATGCCGTCTGGATATCAGAAGCGGTGGCAGAAATAAGGATGGCACCGCCCTGACATGTTTGTAAAAGCCCTGCTCTGATGATCCACCTGTAGGAACCGTGCGCTTACAGCTCACGGTCAATGAACGGAATTACTATGAAATCCAGGTTAAAAAAGAAGCGGACCTATCACGACGAGGGAAATAAAACCCGACAGCAGCTGATCCTGTGAAGTGAAGAGATGTAGACAGAAGAAATGGTTTGAAATGGAAAGAATGAGAATGAACCACGCACCTGTTTGCTTCAACTTCCTCTGAGCCCACTGACTGAGAGTGCGCCGGGATGACAGCGGAGATTCTCACCCTGAAGAGCTGCACAACCGGTTTATTGTCTCCTAACTACTACAGAGTGAGTGTGTGTGTGATGTCCTCTAAACACACGCTTGCACAGACAGAGGGAGACACACACACACAGACAGAAACACAGACAGACAGACGCTCCACAGGTTTGACAGACGCCTCCCACGCATCTGTGATGGAGAAGGAGCGATGATACCCCGTGATGCTGCTGATGCGAGAGAAGAAGAGATGCTCTGCTGTGTGTGTGTGTGTGTGTCTGCAACACGATCACACGCGCCCGCGCACACGCACGCACACTCACAGACAGACACAGAAGTGTCTCCATGACTTCAGGGGACATTACACTGACTTGCATTGATTTCCTGGAGACT